TGAGTACTTCCATCTGTGAACGTTCCTCTTTCACATCCTCCCCAACCACTAAACAGCAGCAGCAACAAGTAACATGCCCTTCCTTTACCTCGGTGACTTCTCAGCAGTAGTCTAACAGAAACAGACTGGCCTCAAGGCAGTAACTTTGGTAGTGGAGGGTTATATTTGTCTTTAACACATGTGGGGCATGAAGGCCCTACTGTGTAGAGTGTGGGGGGCAGGTTGCTCTGAGATATTTAAAGAATTGACAGCACTGACTGGCAATGTTTCCTCTGTCACATGTTTTGTGGTGTTTTTGTTTGTTTGTTTTCTGTCACAAAGCCAATTCTTCCTGACTTAATCTCTCTCAAAACAGATTAAGTCAGGCTTGATTCAGCCTAAATGGTAGCACTGTTATGATCCACCGTAGTGGGTTCCCTGACTCATGCGTCATTGACCTTTCCATCATCCAGGGAAAGTTGGCACGGGGATTACTGGCAAGCACTGGGGCCACTGTGGAGTGCAGCAGCTGCTGAAAACGCAGCACAGCCCTAGAGACAGACAGATGGTAACAGCACTGTCTGACACTTGTTAAGGGACATGAATAAAGAATTCATGTCTGCTATTCATAAGTGAATCATTAAGGCTTCAAGTGGAAGATTATATGTATTACTGTGTATATATTTACTCATTAATAACATTTGATATGAACAGAAAATGCAAATTAGAGCCCAGGTTATAACAGCTCGGTCCTGTTTCATGTTAGACTTGGGGAGGTTTATACTCCAGCAGCAGCAGCCAAACTTGTTAAATGAGTTAGCATTAAGGTTACCAAGCACATCAGTTATTCCTCATCCTAAAATTTGTTTTTCATGTAATGTTAAGAGTGAAAACATATACTATGAAAATACTAGTAAGACTGAATTCAAAATAACTTTAACTAAGCATCCAATAAATAGAATAAAAGAGTCAGATCTGACATGTTTCCCTATGATATTTAAAATGCTAGGAAGACAATGCAATACAAGAAAAAAATCAGTTTATTTATTTGCACAGCACTAGTGAAGATGCTGATACCATAAAAAGGCTATAATTATTAAGCAATAAAAAATGACAACAAACTTTGCATATTATCACTGTGTGTCATGTCATGTGACAATAAAAAGCTTGACAGGTGTAGGAACTTTATCCACTGGGTGATGATGAAGCCTAGGAAATTGAAAACTGTGAATATTCTTATAATGCACTTAGCACATTTATATTTGACATGTTGGCCTGTGATGCTTCTTAGCAGTCAGAGGGTGGAAAGGCAGCAGATCTAAGTTTGTTGAACACAATTTTTTCTTGAGAGAAGGCTCCTTTGCTGCTGTTTTAGCATCCGCTTCCTGCGGTCACAGAAGATTTTCCTCCTGCTGTCCCTGCTCCACAACAAATTTTTCTTTTTTTTCTTTTTTGGCAGCTTGGGTAACAGTCTATGTGTCATCTCAATATGCAGGGATTTGAATGCTCTTCTTCTTGCAACCTGAATGTATGATTTAGCTAACTCTGGTTTTTGTTTGTTTGTTCGTTTTATTTTAGCCTCCAAATTTTTCTCTGGCACAACTTTAATTTCCCAAAGGATGAAGAGAAGAGAAAGGCCTCAACCTCCTTTCCTCCAAACTAGCTCAGATCAAACAAAGACATGTCAAATGTCAGTTCAGGCTTCAGCACTTTCCCATATGGTGAACAAACACTCTGTGTAAGCACTGAAAACTAGCAGTGACACTGTGAGACAGGCCTTTTCAGAGATTTTCATCGAACTTCCTTTCTTGTTGAAACGTCTAGATATCATTATTTCCTGAATATTTGGATATGATGTTATTCACGTTGTAGCAGAGATATGGTGCATTTGACATCAGTTGCAGCCTCAGAAAATACTCAGCAGAATAAGCCTGAATGACCCTAAAATTTCATTACATCCCACAAAACCCTATAAGATACAAGGCATTTTTTTATATGCACAGTTTCATTACAAGAATCTTTTTACATCAAACAGTTCTGTCCCAGGAAACAAGTGAAATTTATTTATTGCACAAGCCAGTGCCTTCTTGCCTGCTCTGAGAAGAACTTTCATTGCTAGCCACATCCACTTGCTGTAATCTACAGTGTGATTTCACTGACAGATGCATATTTTTGAGGCAGCAAAAAAGGCATCCCTGATCCTGAGATGCTCTGGCTCTTCATCTGTTTTGCTGATGGACACAGACAAACAGTGAATCCTAATATCGCTGTGCCCAAATGGAAACAAATACTCATCATGATTTGAAAGATTTGCAGCTGTCATAGAAAAGCCTGTCTCTTCTTTTTTCTTTCACTCACTTATTTTTATTCGAGTGCCACAGAGCCACAGATATGTTGCATCCTGCTAAGAAATTCTGGTGCATGCCACAAAAACATAGGGGGTTGATTCCTGACTATCTTTGTATTGTCCTTTCTAGTGAGCGTACAATATGTGCAGTATTTGAGGCGTGTGTGTGTGTGTGTGTGTGTGTGTGTGTGGCTATCTATGGTGTATTCTGAGTTGTTTTTGTTTAAAGTGAAGGTCAGGGTGTCTCTCCCTGGACTTCTCAGTATGGTCAAAGTTTTCGAGTGCGCTGGGAGAACATTCTGGGATATTGTTATACTCAAGATGGAATGAAGTGTTACTAGACAAAAATAGATGGTAGTAAAGTGTAAATTGCTGCTTTGGAAATGAAATGCTCCATCATACCGCCATGTTTATTATTGTAGAGATCAGACAAGATTTTAGACATTGGTTTAGAAAAGGTCTGCAGCATTTTATTTCTGTGATTTGCCAGGTAAATTTTATTTTTCTTGAAGCTACCTTTTATTCAAGTTCTCATGTTTCCACTTGCCTTGTGTAAAGCAGACATCCAGTTAATTTGTTTCCAGTGTTTCTTTTCCACAGTGGTTGGTTAAGAATATTCATTTTAGATAAACAGATTAACTATCTTGTCTTCAACCACTTTTAGGTAAAGTAATTCCTATGATTTACTATACATACTGTATGTGCTAGCTTTTTTGAACACGAGCTGACTGGGATAGCTGTGCTGGTAAGCTGAAAATGTCAAAAGAGTGAGTCGCTGGGGAAAAGACATTAAATGTTTTTTCCTGAGTCTCAACAACTTTTCAACCAACTCTGGTTGACAATCATTGTGTTAAGTATTTCAGCACTTTTAAATGATTTTACTTAGGATCCATATTGTATGACAAGTAAGAATAGTGAAAATGGTTTGGATTGAGGTTAATCCTTCCAATATTAATGTTAAATGGTCCCATGCACCAAATTGTTCCTTGAATGAAGTGTTATCAAGTTTTAGCTTTGTCTGTTGTGTAGGCACAAGCACTGCCCACATAGATTCAGCATGAAAGCAGCATAGAAAAGAGGAAGTAGGATGGATAAAACACCATAAACAGGGAATGTCCACCACAATACAAAACAAGTAAAAAGCTGCTATTTTCTGAAATGCAGAAGAGTGAGCATGTTTGTGCATGCACATACATACAGGAGACAATTACTTGGCCTGTGTGCGTTAAACCAGGTGACACTCTGAAATCGCCACAGCAGTCCTGCTGCACTTGCTGCACTGCTGTCTGGAACACTGCATCTGGTCCTCATCTGGACCTGTGGGTTGTCTGGACATCCACCAAGCCAAGCTCAACCAGAGCCACTGATAACATGGCAATGCTTCAAGTTGACAGCAACAGTCTCTGAAGTGTAGCATATGTCACTGACTGAGGTTTAAACAATTTAGTATGCTTATGGAAACAGTACATGTAAGGTGATTTATTACTGTATGTGTGATGTTGTTTATGAGCGAACTGTGTTTGAGCTAAAACAATCAAGTTCATAAGAAGCGACAGGGATACAGAGGTTAATCTTTCTAATATTGTCACTGTATGTGTAAAGGTTTTAGGTTCAGTCAAGGGCAATTGTAGTATTTGCCTATGAGTATAAACTGTATAATGATATCAGGAAACCAGAGAGTCCTAAGGCAGATCCCAATTCCTCTAACTTCATCCATGTCTCCTTTACTTGCATCTTGTCCTTGTGTCTTAATCCTACCCACGTAAGATGCAAGAAAAAGATGCAAGGAGAAACTGTTAGGAGAGAGGAACTGAGGAGGCATGTTTTAACTGAACTGAGATGCAATTTGCTTGCTATTCTTTCACCAGCTGATTTCAGAAAGTTCTCATGTATGTTTTGCACCCACTGCGAAACCTTTTAACCTTTTAATTTTCATCTGCTGTTCTTGAAACAATATATTGCACTGTGACAAGAGGACTGGCAAGCCAACATATGTAGGCGGGTGACACAAAACAAATGGATGAAAGAGATTTGAGGTTTGGCCTGTTGTTATCTGACTTGTGAATTTCTCCTGCCACATTTCCTCTTCTGCCCATGTCTCCTTGCAACAATCAGCTCTGTCTGCTCCCAAATTCCATATACCCCATGAAAGGCAAACCACCAGGTCATAAAAAAACAAAAAATGTTTTTCCATTCATCTGTTACGGTGGCTCGGAACACAAATAATTTAGGTCGTATTTGCTGTGGTTTCAAGAAAGGCAGGTGATGAATGTTGTTACAACTGAAAAATGAAGTGAAAACCCCTGCATCAATGTGTCTTTCCAGAAATAATGTTTAAGTGGCTTGGGATAAAACACAGACTACATTTCATTAAAAGAGGTGAAAGAAGAAAAGGGAACTAAAAGACCTGAATGAATCATATAACTGAATTACATTTGTGCTGAACTGCTGCAGTTTCCGTAATTTATGTTCTAAGTGGCTGTACTGAGTTTGAAAAGGGACCCTTTATGAATTGTGAATCATCTGTCTGTAATCGGTTGCAGAATGTGTTTTTTTATCATATGTTTGGGTCTACTTTGAACTTTAAACTTTTCTAAATCTAAACAGATGTTTTGCCTGTTTTGCAGCTGCTGTGATGGATGACCAGTGCATGTCCCACACTAGTCCTCAGCGCAGTGGAGGTCAGGCCAGCACAGAAGTTCAGAGGCAAGGACGGTCGAATGTCATCAGGTGTGGGTGGCTCAGGAAGCAAGGAGGTTTTGTCAAGACTTGGCACAGTCGCTGGTTTGTATTGCGAGGGGACCAGCTCTACTATTACAAAGACGAGGAGGAGACCAAAGCCCTGGTAAGGCTGCAAACACACTAAACTTCTCAGATGGCTTCATTTAAATAAATATTTGGAGTCTGAAGAGGAAACATCATCCACAATTTCACTAAAACAGCAAAGTTTAGAGAATATTCCAGAAAGCAAATAAGAGCATGCAAAGTAATTAGACAGCAAGAGTAAAACGCTGCTTACACACTGCAGCATTAACAAATTAATTGCTGAATTAAATGTTAAATGAGTTGTTAATGAACAAATTGTTAATTATTTGTTAACCATCAATCACAACTCAGTCTGAGACTGGAGAAGCAGGACTCATTTTTTTAATCCCCCAGTGTGTCACTAGACAAATCACCCCTACATATTGTGATTAGAACAAGAGATAAATTACAGTTATTTAGTTAAAGGTGCCTTTTTTCTTTTAAACACTGGTAAATACAAAATTTACATTTGTGTTTCAGCAGATGAGCTGAAATATTTACTTTATGAAGTGTGGGGGACCAAAGCCTTTTCAACACTGTGGCCCTTAAACGTCCAACAAAATACTAATATAACACTAACATGAATTAAATAAAACATTTAAGTACAATGTAGTACAGTTGGTTATACTAACATTAGCTTACAATGGAGATACCGTGTTTATTTTATCTTGATGGTTTTATGTATTTTATTCAGATCACTTGCTGTAGCAACACATAGATGTCAATTATAAAACGGTAGACTCTTCAAAGACTATCCTAACTCACTTCTATGAATATAAAATAATTCCAGTGTACTTTTTCATACAAAAGGACCTTCTATCTCTATCTTCAGCCTTGATTCATGTAATTGTGCAGTTTATGAAATAGTTTCTAATTGTTGGAGGAATAGTGAGACAGTTTGTGTAAATGTTTTGCCTAAAATGTCCCATGTAGTGACCCAAGTTTTAGAAACAATGGACATTTGGGGTCCACAGAGCAGAAGCATCTTACAGCCAAATGAGATAACAAACTGATTCAAATGAGTTGAATTGTTTTGACTGTTCGACTCTAAGTCAGAATGTAGCTTGTTTTCACTAAAGCCACCACACAAAAAGAGGAGACAATGATTAAACACAGACAAAAAGGCCGTCTCTAACGTTACTGTAACCAGGCAGCCTCTCTCACTGAGCATGTGCTGAGTGAACAAAGACGCAGTCGGTCAGACTCTGGATTCTCATCACAAAGCAAAATTGCAGAAAGGTGGAAATGCTGAAGAGAAGGAATAAACAATAAGTTCAACAAGGTCAGCTCAGCAAGGCACTGCCTGTTATTAAGTGACTGTCTTTATTGAAGTTGAACTCACAATTGAGATTTAAAACATAGAATCTGATTTTATCGATTAATGGTATTTCTGTTTTGAGTCAATTGTGGGATCAGTGTCAAGGACAACTGAATGCAAGAGATTTTAAAGGAGTAGTTAGACATTGTTGAAATACACCTCTTGGATTTCTCCTGGAGAAACAGACGAGAAGGTCGATATCACTTTTCATACCAGTGAGTTAACTATGAAGCTACAGTCAGGACACAATTGCTAGCTTAGCTTAGCATAAAGACTGGAAGCAGGAGGAGGTTCTCTCTGTCTAGAAGTTGGATATACATGTTTATGCTGACCACCATAGCTCAAGATGAGTGAACTTTAGATGGATTGACTTTATATTTTGGACAAAGCCAGGCTAGCTGTTATTGAATGATTATGAGAGATTCCCAGATGTCTAGGAGAAATGATTTGATTGTAATTAATTTACATTGTGTCTAGCAGTCTTTTCACAAATAACCTGAGGTATCCATAGTCTGTTCTTGTTTCCTGATTTCTTCCTTATTCATTCATTGGTAACTGCTCAGTTACTACAACTCGTGGAGTGCTACCGTTTAACTCTCAGCTCTGCTCTGTGTCTGCAAAGGAGAGAAAGACTTTCCTCTTTCTAATATCTATTCCAGCCAAACAATATCCTCTTTTTCCATGGGAAACTTGAACACTTGAGCACAAATGAAATCTTTATTGTGCTCATCTACCCACACTTTTCTGTCTGGCTGATTTCCCAGCAAGCTCAGCTCAGCCAAACCCAATCCACATCAGCAGCAGAAGTATCTGAAGGTTAAAACTGCAGACCTGAAGGTGGGCTGCTGGCTTGATACAGGGAGAACAGATATTCTTGGCTGCTATTTCTTGGTAACTCTTATACTAGGAGCACCAACAGTTTGGCATCACTTCTTGGTACTATGAATATCCTGAGGGAATGATGCAAATGCTCTGGAGCAGTTTATAATAATTTACAGAAAATGACAAGAAACAACTGGTTTCCCTTTGAAATATTCTTGTCAAGTATATCTATCCACCCAGAAATGTTATGTATTAATAACCCTATAAGTTTCATCTACCCTAGGAAAATTCTACTCATGTTATTTTGCAGCTTTTTTGTTCTTGCCCCACTTTTTAAGCAAGCCCAACATACATTTCAGATATAGTAAAACTGCCAGAATGAGAAATCTCAATAAAACTACTTCAGACACAGAGCAGTACATTCAAACCCATATTTCCATGACTTCCAAAGGAGAACAGCATGCAACAGTACAAAAACAACACCCCATGAAGACACAATACCCAACAGAATACAAGATAACCAATCTAGAGTTTCCAACATCCTTGGAGAAAGAGCACAAGTAGGGCAAAGAAGAGATAGAGCCTTGAATGAAGTTGCTGACGTGGCCTCTAACACTGACGTTCAACACCAGGGCAAATGCACGTACATGCAAAGATACATCTAACCTAGAGTCTGTGCAGTGGAGTTACACCAATTAGCCATAACATTATGACCACTGACAGGTGGTAATTATCTCATTACAGTGGCACCTGTCAGTGTGTGGGGTAGATTAGGCAGCTAGTGAACATTCACTCCTCGATGCTGATGTGCTGAAGGCAGGAAAAACAGGCAAGCGTAAGGATCTGAGTGACTTTGACAAGGGCCAGACTGTGATGGCTGACGACTGGGTCAGAGCATCTCCCACACTGCAGGACTTGTTGGGTGCTCCCAGTCTACAGTGATACCTGCCAACAGTGTCTAAGGAAGGACAAATAGTGAACTGGCCACAGGGTCATGGATGGCCAAGGCTCACTGATGGTATGGGGTTAAAACAGTTTTGTGTGTTGGCATGTACTACACACATTATTTACTACAGATAATGTACTGAGCTGATCTTAACTCACCCCTGCTGAAGCAATATGATGCTGATTACTGTCACTATAGGGGACCGTGTTGTGTACTATACAGTCAGGCCAAGCCTCTCTGAGCAACGCGTGGAATCTGAAGAATGGTAGTTCGATGGCAGTGTAGGGTCACCATAAAGCATGCGTGGGGTACAGCGCGTGTTGGCTTATCGTCAACATGCCATCTGCCTGCCCTTGCTCATCCATGGGGATGTATACACACACAAGCATGCACATATTCACCCACATTCTCAGATGCACTCAGATTTCATCTGACTGAGCCATGAACAAAGACAGTATTCACCCAGTGGGTCAAATGGCATGATTATTGTAATTTAAACCACTTAGTGTTGCATCTGCATGCCAGTGAAATACATAGAGGTAACGAATGAAGGAAAGAATACAGTGAGCCAATTTTACTTTATTACAATGTATTACAAGATGAAAGGCATTAAAATTTAATTAGGGTACTGCAATTCTAAAAATTCAGAAACTCTTACAAGTGAAATAATATGAGGGGCTGTTTTTTAAATTCAGATTATAATTGTAAGTAAAGTAGCTGACTTTAATGAGAAATTGCATAAACTCAATAATGCAACTGTGTAATAATGCACTAAAATGCCTTGGCATTCCCTGCTTGAGCTGGAAACTGTCTGACCCTGGCATTTAACAGGAGTAAATACAATGCCAGCTGCAGACATTCACATCTTACTGCTGTTTTGATGAAATGTTAACACTGTACCATTCACTGCTAATGTCACTGTGGAGACGCCAACGTCACTGTGGACACTGACAAACACACATGATGGTTGTACTTCTGATTCTTACAGTACCACCTGATCATAGCAGAATGCTAATTTTATATCAGGGTTGATGCTTTCATTGAGCCTCATCACATCCAGACATGATCTGAGTCACACTGTGTTTAAATGTCAGAGGAATGGGGGCAGTAACAAAGACATTCTCCAAACTTCCTCTTGTATACACTATTAAAACCCTGACACAACTTTCTGGTTAACGATATAAACACAAATCTTATATTAAAGTGCCACACATATCATGCGCTGCCATCTGATGCTAGTTACTTACTTATTCTTGACATTATAACCTTGGCTAGTGAATAATATTATGAAATCTTCAGCATGCTCTATACAGAGCAGGAAAAACATTAATCATTAATGCGAGACAGTTGTGGCTGTCAGTATTCCTACTACACACACTAAGTACCAGGACTGTGCTCTGACTCCTGTGTGATGACTGCATGTCTAATAAGTTCTGTATTCATGGACTGAGAAGTTAATTAAATCTCACTGGACTTCAAGCACTTGTAGTCAGTATTTTTATACTAACAGTGGATCACATACTACTCAAATGTGATGAGCTTCAGCATCTTCCAGCTCATTGTTTTTGCTTTCTGGCCACTGCGCTCTGCTCAAGTCAGTCAGCAACAGAAGTGGCCTGTCAGACAAAAACATGCATCTGCAGGATCAGTCTCACTGTTTTACACTTTCTTGTGGTTTCAATAAAATAAACACTATTTGTAATCCATAATTCATCATTTCTGTGACCAATTGTTGAGCTGAATAGCTTATGGGGTAGCAGTACGGAAAAGCTGTCAGTTACCACTCTCTATTGTGGCCAGGAGCAGATGGGCCCAAGTAACAGAAGAGCTCAGGCAGGCTCTCTGGGAACTTGAAGAGGAGAAGGAGAAGAGGAGACATATTGAGGAGGAGAAAAACTCTAAAGCTCATGTACAAGTTAATGTGTAAGACTATTTTGTATACACAGTTTTTATAAGGTGTTTTGTTTACCAGGTCTGGTAATTGAGCTATACTGTATCTTTGCACTCTGCAAAATGGTGTAATAAAAATTTTACTGTTCTATTATGTAGTGTGCCTTGTCTGTAGTGCTAGGAGTCTAGACTCCATTCACACAAAGCACCAACCTTGTTTTAATCAGTATTTTTCAGTTCCTTTGATACAGCTAAAGTACAGTAAATGCCATCATTTAAACACTTTAGAAGATATATTGCATATCAGATCTTTATTGTAGGGTACATCTTGTATCTTCAGGTCCCAGGAATCTTTATCATGTATGACTCCGGGCGGTCTGCTAAGAGGTCTCTCATTTTACTCATCTGTTCCTTCCTCTCTTAATTGAAGCAATCTTAATGTTTAAGATTGCTGCAATTAAGTTATCCAGGGAAGGTGTCATAGTATTATTTATTATTTAATGATCGGATATTGGTGGATCCATCAAACAAACACAATCTAAGCACAGTGCAAGAATAGTTAATGAGCTGTTCTCTGTTCTGTGGCTGGTGCAGCTGTGCTCTAGTTTTAAAGCTGCAATCATACTGTGGCTAAGTTCACCTGAACCTGCTGCAAGGTATTTTCAGTGACAAATAGCTGATGAGCAGGAAAATGCCTCTTGCCTGTTTGTATACTTTGCAAACCAAAGTAGTAATGTCTCCTGCAGCTGTGCTCTAGTTTTAAAGGTGTAGATGTATAGTACTGAAACTGAGAGTTCAGCCAAGTGAGCCATGAACAAATTTCCATGGGTTACATGAGTTTTCTGTCCATAATATAATACTTATTATATAAAAGTGCCCATGCTCAAGCCTCCACTTGGCAAACACTAGCAGTCTTCAATCAGACAAACAGACCCAGTAATTCTGCAGACATAAGTAGAAACTCAAGCTATCAGTAAAACTCAATGCACCCACACCTAAGTAGTGTTTGGTCAATAATACCATCTCTTTGTGGTTTCATAGCACGTTGTATAGCACAAAATGACACTGTTTAAAATGTCTAGCAACAGGTGACTTTGGATCACTTCTGCATACTTTTATGTGTTTCTTCTGCTATTTGTTCTCTCAGTATTCCTAATACTTATAGATGACTCAGCCACTGAGAGCTGAAAGCTACCTGCTTTATAAAAGTGAAACAATGATGACATTTACTGTATTGGACTGGTTGTCCCAGTGGAGTGATCAGAGCAAAACATCCCTTTTACACTTTAACAAGCAGGTCTTATAGCAGGCACACGGAGAGGTACATTTATACACTTACTATATGGCAAAAACTGCACCTAGCATCACCTGCTGACTTTGCCATCCTGTGTCTGAAAGGTCACAACAGTAATTATTGGTTACACAGACTGCCGATCAATGGGCCAAGGTTTAATGTGCTCTCAAATGACCTGTTACAGCAATAACTTCTGGTTGACTGACTTCTGTGAGAGCAATTATCTGCCTGCAATCTGAAATCAATTTCTGCTCCACAATATATTGCTCTGCATGTTATTATCTTACCACATATCCTGTTAACTTCATGCATTCATCAAACCAGGTCATTATTTAGCAAACCAAGGTTCTCTCGTAAAACTCAGACTTCACAAAATAACACATAACAAAAGCTAATTGGGTTTGTGTCATTACATCGTTTCCAAAAATGACTTCATACTAGTTAACAACAATATAAAAATGCAGAAAACACCCTCGTGATTTTTTTTTTCTTTTTATTGTCCTGCTGGGCTGGGCCAGGCTTCCAGACTCCTTGCTGGGTAAAGGTTGCTGTGGTTGGGTTTGTCTGCAGCAAACAACAGACCACCAGGGAAGATGTCACTATGGAAAGTGTAGCTGCGGCTTAAAAATGAAGAAGAGGAATACCCATGGTGCTGCGGTTTTACAGTATGGAGTGACTATACAAGCCCTTCCTTTACGAGAATATAAGCAGTCCATAAAGGCAACACATTTATGAAGCCTGTCTCACCCACACACAAGTCATTATCATCATCTCCTGTTTCCCCTCGAATCAGCACACACTGAAAGAAAAGGTTCAAAATAGTGCTTTTAATCTCGAGGTACTGAATCTAAACAGATTCTCTTAGTGACATCCAGATCAAACAAGCTTTCTCACTCCTCCGCTTTGAAGCATGGCTGTCCCTTTTTTATAACCCTTTTTAAAGCACTTCGCCCGGGGCATCAGGTGGGGCTCCCGCTTCCTGGTAGTCA